CCTGCGGAGGTGCTTGCTCAGCCAGGTGTGCATGGAGCCTGGACCCTGACCGTGGGTCCTGGGTCCTGACCCCAGACCCTTGGCCTTGACCTCGGATCCTGACCCTGGACCCTTGGGCCTGATCCCAGACCCTGACCCTGGATCCTGACCCTGGACCCAGATCCTGTTCCTGGACCCATTACCCCAGACCCTCATCCCAAATCCTGACCCTGGAGTCCAGACCTTGATCCTGGACCCTGATCCCAAACCCCAGATGAGTCTCCTGACTCTGACCCCGGACACTGGACCCCAGGGTCCCCCAAGCACACCGGACCCAGGGCAGCCCAGCCAGGGCCAGCACATCCCAAGCATCAGCCGTCAGAACAGACCTGGCGACAGCCCAGAGCATCCCAGTTCACCCCACCTCATGGTTGCCCTGCGTCCTGGCCAAGCCCAGGACCAGTGTCCATCCCCTCACCCTCACCTGCCTCCCTGATGAGCTTCCGAGCCTTCCTCTCACTGAAGGATGACATTTCGCAGGGCCGTGGGTCACGCAGGGCCTGGGCCAGGCCAGGGAAGGGCACGGCTTGGCAGTATACCACCACGGCAGAGAGCTCCGGGGCCACCTGTGAAGCATCCTTGGCCTGGGGGGGCCAGGGCAGCCTCAGAGTCACCCCTGGCTCCAGCACCCACCGATGGAGCAAGGCCTGCACCTAAATCACCTGGAGCTCTAGAGAGCCCTGATGAGGCTGGCACTAAGTGCTGAACCCCCCCCAAGGTGATGGAGACCCTGAGGCAGTGGAGCACCTAAGGCAATGGAAACCCCAAGATGATGGAGAGCCCGAGGCAATGGAGAACCAGAGGTGATGCAGACCCCAAGATGATGGAGACCCCAAAGCAGTATTGACACAAGGCTACGGTGACCCCCCCCCAAGGAAATGGAGACCCCAAGGCAATGGAGAAGTTGAGGTGACAGCAACCCCCGCAAAGCAGAGGACACCCAAGGTTATGGAGACCCCAAAGCAATGGAGACCCTGAGGTGACGGAGAATCCCCGAGGCAATGGATACCCCAAGGTGAAGGAGACCCCAAGGCAACGGAGACATTGAGGTAATTGAGACCGTGGGCATGGAGCGCCCAGACCCGTAGGGGAAAAAGGAGGCATCACTGGCAGGTTCCCAGGCTCAGTCCCCTCTTCTGGGCAGTGACAGCTGCTCGCCATCCCCACAGGCACAGGGACTGCCTAGTCCCACAGTGCAGGCACCCCCGGCCCTCCTGGCTCCAACGCCATGACCCACCTGCAGTGGTTTGATCTCCTGCAAAGAGTGGAGTGACTGGAAGAGGAGAGAGAAGAGCCATGTCAGGGGACACCCAGGAGCACTTGGCCCCCAGCACCACCAATCCGGCCACAGGGTCCTCTCCAGTATCAGCACCAGCCTTTCCCAGCCGGAAAACACCCAGGGATCCCAGAAGAGCTCACTCAGCATGGCGCTGTGGCAGCACCATCAGTCACCCCGTAGGGCACAATAAGCTGGGGGCAAGGGAGCAGCCCTGGGTTGGGATGCTGAGGCTGCCTGGCCGAGGCCACAGCAGGGCACAGCGTGTCCTCCAGCACGTGGAACCCCCTGCTGTGCCATCAGCATGGCAGCAGTGGGGCTGGGGACAGCAGCAGCGCTCAGGAGCCAGCCTTGCGCCCACGGCCCCTTACCCGCCGGCTGCTTCTCTCCTGCAGTCCCTCTTCCTCCTCCTCCTCTTCCTCCTCCTCCTCATCCTCATTGTCTGACAGGGAGCTGCTGCTCTGAGGCTCATGCTGCAGGTCTGGCAGCTTCTTCCCTTTCACCAGGATCTTCCCCTTCAGCTGCTGCAGGGGGAAGGACCAAGCGCTGGGTTTGGCAGGGACACAGGACTGGCCCGATGGTGACGGGAAGGCAGCAACAGGCAGGCTGACCCCTGCTGCAGCCAGGGCTGGCCCGGGGGGGCCCCTGGGGCCCTGCCCCTCCAGTGGCTGCGTCAGCAGCATGTCCCCCAGGATTGCCTTCATGTGACGGGCCATGGTGGCCTGCTGCTCTAGCCCACAGTGGTTCTCCAGGGACAGGATGACAGGGTAGGGTGATTGCTGTGGACAGAGAAGCCAGGCAGGGCTGATCAGACGGTCGAGGGCACCTGACACCCACGGCACCCACTGCCAGCCCCATGAGGAGCACCACGGTGCCCACCTCTTGGAGCATCGCTCACCTTGAAGGCATAATCGCGGATGCTCTCCATGACGTCACGGAAGAGGATTTTGGAGGTGAGCGTGTGGCCATGGTAGATGATGGGCTCCCCGTTGGAGCCCTCCCAGCAGTCCAGCTCCACGCAGCGGCAGCCCTTCATGAACGCCCTGCCCACGTGGAGCTGGCACATCAGCCCCGTGGCACCTGGGCCATCCAGCAGCCCCCAAAGCAGCCAAGAGCAACGGGGCAATGGCCACCAAGCTCTGCGGCCTCTCAGGTTGCCCAGAGCCCCCTCCAGCGACCATGCAGGTCCCACCTGATGTAGGCTTCAGTGCTGCTGGTGCCACCGATCTGGTTGTTGGTCAGGTAGGTGTTGTGGGAGGAGGAGATGAAGTAGTGGCACAGGGGCTGGCTCATGTCCTGGTGCACCTTGGTGTGCTCCTGGTTGAGGATGTCCCCGTCGGCAGAGAGCAGATACATCATGAAACCATCAAGCATCATGAGGTCCTGCTGCTTGGCTGGGGGACATCGCGGTGGGGTGTTGGAGATGGCTGGCACGTGCCCATGGCACCCCAGGTACAGCATCATGGCACACGGGGAACCATCCCCACCCTGATAGTCCCTGTTCCCATAATGTCACCCTTGGCACAGGCTTGGCACTGTGGCAGCCAGGGGATATGGAGGTCCCCTTGGTGTCTGTCCCCCTACTGTCACCCTCATCCTAGGCCTGGCACAGTGAGACATGGAGGTGTTCTTCCCCACCCTGATGTCCCCTGTTCCCATAATGTCACCCTCATCCTGGGCCTGGCATTGTGGCACCCGGGGACATGGAGGTCCCCTTGGTGTCCTTCCCCACCGCAATGTCCCCTGTCCCCACAATGCCATGTTAACCCTGGGTGGACAGACCAGGGACCAGTGAGGACATGGGCTGCCAGGGAAGGGACAGCGGACACAGGGCTCTGGCTTTGATGCCCTGACATGGGCCACTCACCCTTGCCCCAGAGAGCCCCGTGGCAGCTACAGCTGCTACTAGAGCCACCCCCAGAGCCAGGCAGGGCCACGTCCCCATCCCCAAGGCAGCCCCGGGCTGCAGTCTCTTAACCCCTCGCTCCACACCATTGACAGCAGAGGAGCCGCTGGCAGCCAGCCCGACATCGCCACTGACTATCCACCACTGCCACCCCTGAGCTGAGTTTGTCCATTCTCAGCCAGGCTGTGCTGCAGCCAGGACCCCTCCAACACACGCTACCTTTCTCATTCAGCTCGTAGGCGTGGATGATGGCATGGGCGTGCTGCGGGCTGGCCTCCTCGCCCTGGTCACGCAGGAACTCCCGCAGCTCCTCGGCCGACAGCACACAGTCCTCACCCGAGTAGCGCCAAAAAATCTCCTCCAGCTCCGGCCGCTGCAGCAGGCGCCGGCAGAACTCCTCCACCTCGCGCTCCTCCAGGCGCTCGTCGCCAGACCGGTCGCACTCCTGGGGCACCGAGCGCCTAGCCTCGGGGGTGCGCCCCCACG